AAATGTTAAGGGGTTTACTTAATGAATTAAATAAATATTAGTTTACCATACTCGGTAAATATTTTTTATTACTAGCAGTTACTGTTACATCAGTACTCATCAATACTAAATTCAATTGCTAACCAATAATCCTGACAATTTCAAGTGCAATGTGGTGGGTCTGAAGTTCAAAATGTGTGTGTGTTTTTTTTTTTCTCTCCTCATTCTCATAAATGCTCCATCACTGTAAACATCATTTAGCAAATGCTGTTCTGTGCTGTTCTCATATGGTCCAGCTAGTCATGGGGTCAAACTGAAGGGTAATGGTTTTCCCTCATTAGTTCAAGGGAACAGAGCTGATCCTTGCTAATCTGAGAACAAATCCAAGTTTTTGGTTCACTACATCCCATACAGAACATTATTTTCTGTGCTGCAGAATTAGTACGTCACCTTCCCATGTTTATCTGTACACTAATTATTTACACAGCTAAAATATCCAACACTGGGAACCCTGACCAACCACAAAGGAAAAGCCTGTTATGAAGCAGTTCCAGTGTATGAAGAAATTTCTGTTCAGAGTGACAACAGCTAAGAATATGCATTTTACTTGATCGGGAATAAGTGGTATGATTCAAAGATCTGCATAGGCATCTGGACTCTTGGAGATTGTTCTTATGGACATAATCCCAAATAAATAGGATTGACTGGAGAGTTAATCCTGAAAAATTTACTTTTTCTTCATTAAACAAATATTCTCCCACCCCTCCCCCTGTAAGCATGTTATCCTACCTCCTTTTCGAGGACCAGGAGAATTAATCTAGATAGAACGGGCTCTCTTTAAAGCAAGATAAAAAGGACATGACTCAGAAGCGCTGAAAGACTAGTTCTCCTTTCAAATGTTCTGCTGTATCTACCTCCTGCAAAGTAGTAAAGAGTAGGAGTGGAGAAAAAAAAACCCAAAACACAACCAAGCAACCAGGTACAGAGTCAGAAGGAAGAGCTGAGCGTGTAGGTAGGTTATCAGACCCCAGGAACAGATCTGAACTGAAAGCAGCGAGGAATCCAGGTGGAGACGACATGGCCACGTTTCCTTAAGTGCAAGACTCTGCATTTGAGGTCCCAGGACCTTTCATTTACAACGGCTGCTCCGTACCCCTAAATGCTGCTGGGGAGCCTGGAAGGAGCCGCCGGCTTGGGCGTGCTGCTCTTTCACCAGAGTGAGCTACCAAGGGGGTGAGTTGCTAAAATACATTCCCACGCACAGAAGCGTCACAGTTGCCACAGAGGTAACGGTCAATGGCAAACAGGAGGGAAGAAAGGCAAGAATGTATCTGATAACGATCTTAAAAGAACAATTGGAAGCTGATAAGCAGGAGGCAAGACAAAGTTATACAGGGATGAGTAAGTATCAGGTCAGGAAATTTAAGGATAGAAGTTTAGAAGCAATATCCATCAACAGAAATAAGCCTGGAAAGAAAGCTTCAAGTGAAGAGCCTGTCTGTTTCGAAGGATGAAGTCTTAAACCAGCGAGACTGTAGTATGTGTTGTGTAGCCATATAGTAGTGGAGACAGAATGACCCAGCAGCTCTGCAGAAGGTACAGCTGCATTAGTGGATTTAAAGTCTTTTAAAGAAAATGTATGGATGCAGCCCAGAGCTGTGCAGGTGGCTGCTTTTCACAGGACTGGCACAAATACTAATTTGATGCAACGAAAACTATTAACTGACCGGAGAGCTTGCTGCCTCTTCCCTCTATTCCTCAAATTACCACAGCCAGCTTGAACAAGATTAGTTTTCAGCAAGACAGCTGCAAAATACATGTAACTTTTTTTAAACCTTCACTCATACTCACATTCAACATTTTCTCACTTTATAGAAAAGAGCAGCAGGACAGTCTCTTAGAGCTATAAAGCAGCAAAATTGCCTTGACCCGTAGCTGATAAACTAGCATTGATGAAAAGTTTTCATTCAGCAGAGTCTGCCTTGTACACAGTGTGCACTTTCAGCTCCCACAGTAACTAAAATGTGTTTTACTGATGAAAATACGTTTCTGATGTGGAAAGTTAATTTCAGCTAGCCTCCTTTCACATGGGAAGCAGGACAAGAGTGTACATTTGTCCATGAATTCTAACTTCAAAAATATTTCTCATGTAATATTTTCATGTTTTTGCTGCGAGAACAACTCGCAGCCATGACACCAAAGCCTCCATACGTGGGGTTTAACATGCCTCCATTCCCGGAGCCCACCATGTCACTCATGGCTGCTTTCCCTTCCTGACGTGCTCGGTTTACAAGCAAGAAAACTCCTCCCTTTTCTTGCTCAACAGCCAGTTCAGCAAGTTCGATTTCAGATGTGAATCAAGCTAACTTTTCCTGGGCAGAACCCACCTACAAAAGCTCTGCAGGCCAAATCCAGACTGTACCAATATCCATGCAAATTCGTTATTTTTATTGACCGCACAAAATTTCATCCAATTAGAATTCAGTAAAAATAACACTGGTAATACAAACAGGGAGATAATTACATTCCCTTCAACTTCGTTAGTTTTGCAGCGGAGAAAAAAAATTAAGCCGTCTTAATGGAACAGCTCCAAGACACTTTGCACAAGATAAAATCAGAAGTTTTAAATAACAAGGAGTCTCTTTTTACAAAGCTACCTTTGCATTTCGGGGGTTTTCATCCTATCTACCAGCATCAACAAAACCAGTCCATTCCCCCATCTCACCAACCAGTGCCCTCTAGAATTAGTCAGGCTGCTGTTTCCAGATAAAACAAGAAAAACCTGACTGAGCATGACACAGCATAAGAAATGTAGATCTTCTGAACTCAGGTGGTATGTATCCAAAATTACATTGTCCGTAGGAAAAGATGCAAAACCTTAGCTGTACTGGACAAGATCCTACTCCCTAGTGAAGCTGTATAACAACCGTCAAAATACACTTATATGTTCTCTCCGAAGAGGATTAAACTATATCAATATAGCTATCTATCCACAGAGCTTGGTGCTACTGTTTTAGTAGAAAATAATCACAATAGCTTACCAGTGCAAACAGTGTGCAGGACAACCCTAAGACTATTTCACACTGCAGCTCCATATTATATACATTTATAGTATTTGAGGGCATCAGGAAGGTGCCATTACTATCGATGGAAAGAATTACCAGTTTCAAAAGCATCCCCTCGCTAATACTTCTCCAAGCAGATGAACTTGATCTCAGACAGACCAACGGACAATGCCACTGTTAATACATTCTCATGTAACAACTGCTGTATATTAATAAAAGGAGAGTTTTGCCTTCCACTCAATTACTTAAGGATGTTCTTTACCAATCACCTGCTTAAGAAGATACACCTCGTGTAACAATGGCTTTCTCCATCTTCAACGTTCAACGATGACAGATCACTACATGCCCATCAGTCACATCCACGGCAGTAGGCTGTGATAAGACAAACTAATCCAGTTGTTATTGCAGCAACATGAGAAAGACATCAGGCTCATTTAAAAGGAATATTTACTTACCTGTCTTGAAAAGCAGGTAAAGTTATTTTAAGTTTCTTTGGATGTGATAGGAGGCCTGGGCCCCTTCTCGGTACTCTGAACAATCAACTCCTTGGTACGAATGAAAACATTAATGAACTTTTTAAAGGACTGAAGGAAAGAGAGAGCGCTGGACAGGGAAAGTAGAGTGGTGAAAACAAAAGAGTTGGCACACAAGTTGGCAGCAATTTAAACTTGATATTCAACGCATCAAAATATTATCAACACTTCAGTCATTAAAGTTCTGGTGCTACTTATGCTTACAAAGTATTTAGATTCAAATAAATGTAAATAAAGACATCACTAGATACTAAACAAGTTTTTAAAAAGAAATAGTGTCAGAACAAGATTACCATGGTCAAAAGAACACCTCTAGTATGGGTTATAAACTGCTACAGTTGAGATTCAAAGGACCATATCAGCAACTTGCCTGTTCGATAGGACACAGGAGGACTCTGCAGCAAGAACAAAACAGCTTTCCACAAGTTTCACTCTGTATTCCACTCTGCTGGGTCCCAAATATCAAGACCCAAATCTCAGAATGAAGCCCACAACAAAAATGCAAGAGCATCTCTGCTGAAATAACTGGAAGGGGCATAGCACAAAAACTCCAGGTAGGGGCTTGATGAAGACTAGAAGAATCTCTACTTTGTGAGAAACATTTAATTCAACACAATGAATTACAAGAGGACAGATTTACAGAATAATAACCATAACAGACTGCTCAAAGGAAAATAATGTTCACTGACTGCAGTACCAGGTAAAGTTCCCCAGAGCAATACCTGGTAGAGCAGCAGCAAAGTACAATTCAGTCTTCTTGCAGTACTCCAAATGAGCAATATCAAAGAATTTTTTTATTTTCAAATCTTAGAGTTAAGATTTGAGTTAAGATAGTATCAATCACTTTGGCATGGGATATTTTTCAAGGAACTTCAACCCATTCAGATCACTAAGCTGAACTACTCCCAAAGGCTATCACTTTCCAGGCAATTCCCCTGGTCCCTTGCTGTCACTGCTAATCATTCGTACATGATAAAGGCTCTGGGAGCTACTTTCTTCCCCAAGTTTTGGGATACCAACAACTTGTACAATTGGTTAGTGGCACAAGATTTCATCCACCACTTTATATTGTACTTTCAGCTGAGACATCCATGCATGAATTATGCAACGGATACCCTAAGACTAAAATAACTTTTGCAACCTAGTCAACACATTCTCCAAGCTATAAACTCTCAACTTCCTCCCCTCTCCCTATCCTCCCTCCCCAGATAAATCCATTTTTAGCTACAAGTTACCCCAATATGCTCAGAGATGTACTAGAAGAGACAGAAGAATCAATGAAGGTACCCATGGTGAAGCCAAATACTTAAGAACACATTAAGGCAGGTTTCACATAGTTTCATTTTTGGACACAAAATGCTGGTCACTTCACTGCACATGCAAATAAGAAAGATTTAATACTTAATAAAAAGCTTTAAATTCGTTTTTAGATATCAATTATAGAAAAATCAACCTTTTTCCTTTCTTGTTTTAAAAGAGGTCAGAACATTACTGCACACGAAAGCAGATGTGTAGACACACCTATTGGAATGGATCCCCCTTCCCTCCACACACACAGAAACCGAGGTCAGGGTTCTTGGCACCAGAAGAGAAAGGAGGAAGTTTTCCTCATTGTCAGTCAGAAGTGAGTCATCCTTCCATTCTGAGTTGAGAAGGTCCTTCTGACTGGATTTAAACCAAAGCAAAATATTCCACAGAGTGGGTATATTTATCTTCAAAACTCTATTTGGCTACGCTCAGACATACACACAACTCTGTATCAAAAACGTGCACCGTAGTGCATTCAGTGTGGTGCTGGAACTAACTAAAAAAACGATTGCCATTGATCTAAGACCAATTCCTCAAGTGTTACTTCCCCTACTAATCAAAACCTCAGGTGGAAGAGGCACTGGCAGTTCATCTCCGAGACTACACTTCCAGGACCAATGTGGTCTTGCGAGGAAAAGGAAATTCAGTGACCTGAATTGACACATGGAATGACAATCCACAACATAAAATGACCTCCCTACAGTCTGGTACAAACAGGTAGCCTACAGCAGAGTAGCCAAGGAGTGAAACAGCATCTCTCACTTGTGTTACAGATAGAATTGTTTCTATGGGTCATTGTTAAAGGTACTTTGATAGAAAAGCTTAAAAATGTATCACCTATGACTGACCCACAATAACAACAAAAAAAGGACAGGAAATTTGGTTCCTAGTATTTTCCCTCCCATCATTTTATATTCCTTTATTCCCTCCCACTTTTGTACTCCCAATTACCCTACCCCTTTAGAAAAAGGAAGGGGAGTAGAGTGTAGTCAAGTTCCATCTTCAAAACTACCCAGCAATTAATGAACCATCAGTTTCTCCACGTTTCCTGAAGCGTACATCAAAATGCTCATAGGTACAGTTGGAATGTTGGTGCAATTTACTCCCGCAGACACTCTTGGCTTTGTAAATAATTGTGCTGACCCTGCTGATAGGGTTTATACTGGGAATTCTTAGATGGAACTCCCTAGAAGAAAGAGAAAAAAAGACCTTGTAAGTCAGTAAGAACTTTTTATATCTTTATAGCAAGTGAGCCCTTAAAAGAATAAGGCACCATTGCCATTTCTTTATCTCCTGTTTTTCACCTTCAGCAGACATTTTTTTCTAGTTCTTTGCTGTTGCCAGACCTTTGTAGTAGTAAAGAATGCAAGATATTCACTGTCCAAATAAAGCTACTGTTAATGATGTGGCAAAACAGGAAAATAGAGAGCCCAGATATAAGACGGTATCTCCCAAAGGCCAAACAGATTTCACGTTATAATCAACCTTCCAGCTTGAAGGATTGCTTAACATAAATCACTCTTCCTTCTACCTGAAATACAGCTGCCACTCCCTCCAAAGGAGCTTTTCTTTTCTTTTGCTATTCATCTAAAAATTTTTTTTCCCCTCCATGTTCCTGATTCTTGCCTCACAGGCTCTGGAGTCTACCTAATGAAGCACCCAGGGTATTGGCTATCCTATTTCAGTGACAGAATGCTAATTGCTTTTCTTAGGCTAAAACTTAAAACGATCCAAAATTAAAATCAGCGAGTTTGGTTTTCATCTCACTTTATGAGCTCCACTGACGATACTTACACAGTGCTCCTGGCTAGGGTTACATCAAAGGAACACAGCAAGGAAAAATTCTACTTCGTAGCATGGCGCACAGTCCCTATCTAGTGCAACATACAATATTTAAGGGAAATCCTGTTGGTGTATCTTGACTTGGCCTTACATATCTGCTTTTTTCTGCATTGCTACACAGTAACGATTCATTATTCAGAGCTATTTTGGTTTACAAGACAATAAAAAAAAATCTAGTTGCACCTTGAAAAAGTTCCACCGCACAAGTTAAAGTCAGACATACACTTGAGAACAAGCAGCAAGCCCTTTGTGAGACTTTTAAGGGATGCACAATGTAAAGGCACAGTTCTGTGAAGCCTGTAGTTACTACTGTTACACTATCTTAAACTTTTCAGACGTTTCCAGATTTTGGATATATACATTCTTCTGCCACTTTCAGTTTATAAAGTTTTTTAGCAACTTCCCTCTTTTGATGGTCAGGTTGCCTTTTTCTAACTTTCTACAAATATTATTTAAAAAACTCCACAAACGTGCTCTCTAATATACCCTGAACAAAAACGCGTACTAAAAATGCAAAAGTGAGAGAAGACAGCTGGCAGGGGAAGAAACTGAGTCCATAAGATGGCAGCCATCCTTTCTACCCAGTGTCCTCTTGCCTATCTTAGGAAGTAATAAATAGATGGGGGGGGGGGGGGACAAGACAAGTGCATTTTTAAGAACGAACCACTTTCAAGACAGAATCCTTCAAGCACTTAGGTACACATTCTGGTTACACATTTAGCCCATCTGACACAGACATAAGGCCCAGAACACTCCCTGAAAATGCAAGCACTCACCAGACATACACCCATCAAAATACCCGATTTTTTCCTGAAAGCATGGCTACTACACCTTTAAAAGTGCATGCTAGAAAGCAAAGATTTGTCAATAATACTAAGATTCCTCCTGAAAACATTTCTGCCTTCAATGAAGTCCAGTTTAAGGTGAGAAAGGATGCTGTCACATTACCTGGACTATACATTCTCCATCTCCTGGTCATGGTCCTGCTCCTCCTCCTCCTCGTCCTCTTCTTCTTCCTCGCCTCCTTCCTTCTCCGAAGGAGCTTCCCCATCTCTTGCTATTTCCTCTACATGGGCAAGCATGTCAGCCATCAGGGCTTCCTCCAGCCTCTTTCGCACCTGCTGCACCAGTTCCTCTTGCTTCCTGCCCCAAATCAACAAACACTGACATCAATCCTCAAAGCTGCCTCTTGCAAGGGAAAGGAATCTTAAATCCCTCATAGACGAGGCTGGGCAGAGAAGCATGGATTGGAAAGAAACCTCTATAAGAACTGCATTGTAAAAAAATTGCCTGGTGTTAAGTGAAGATGGAAGAAACACTTTAAGAAGTTGTCCAATATTTTCCATTACAAGTCCTTAGCACTGATTGTACCATTTTTAATTCTGGCTAAAGTTTGTCTAATCTAGCAGCTGACAAGACTTTTTTTTTTTTAATTCCTAGTACAATAGGAATTTAAATAGGAATTAATAGTTCCTATTAGTTTAAACAAGAAAAAAGTCAACCTACCCTGCTCAGATTTCCAAAAATGACACTGGAGAACCCTAAGTTTCTGACCATTTTAGTCTCTTTGCTCATTCTCCTTTTGAGTCACAACCTTAAATTTTACAGCTCCTTTTCTGTCAATGTCATAGTAAAGTAAAGAAGTGATCACCAATCAGTGGCTCATGGGACTCCTATTTCATCTCAGCCACAGGAAATCGTAAAGTTATAAACAGACCATTTTTCCTGGTCATTCATGTATAAATAAAGCACAAAAAATGTCATCCTGTAATTCAAAAAGACTTATCAGTCAAGCAGTCAAAAGTACGTACTAACCTTAAACACGGTTAATGAATGCAAAATACCGTGCTTTCAGGTTAGTGTCTTTGGCATATTCAGTTCTCTATTAAGTGCTTAAAGCTGAATTTGACCAGTCTTGATTTAGCAATATAATTCATTACTGAAAGCAAGCAACATCTAAATAAATTGCATCCTTGTTCGTTGCCACCACAGCAGTTAGTGCTTTTATCTGGACCTGTGCTTACACAGTAAGGTGAAGAGAATTGAATCACACCATTCAGGGTTTCTCCAATCCCTCCTTCGCTGAGAGGTGCCTTAATCAAGGTTACTCAAATTCAGACACTTTTTTCACTAAAAGGAGACATATGCTAACACGAAAAACAAATATGAACCTGAAACCTCAGGGTAACTGAGCACGGACAAAATAAAAAATAATGGGCTTTAAGTACATGCCTGTATAATGAGAATTTTTTTCTACTCTACTGATAGAGGCATTCAAATTAATTCAGCAAGTCATAGTGCTCCATCAGACATTTAAACTTGCCATTGAGGAAAAAAAAAACACCAATGGTGGGGTACCGTTTTACCACAAGAAACTTTGTTCCAGGACAGTAAGGGATATTTCTAGTACCTAATATCTTCATCTGTCACCATAAATGCTTTGCAAAGTGGCTGTGAGGTATTTAGCCAAACTCCAGGATTCTTCTCTACGGCCGCAGACAGCTGCCCCGTGATAGGCATAGTGCTCGTGTGCAGAGCACTAGCTATAGCAGAGAGAAGGGTTTCGTCAGTGCAACCAGGTCCAACGCCTGCAAGTGGGAGGAAAAGCAATAATCAACATTGCACAAGACAAAGAACAGCAAATGAGGACAACAGGCATTATTTAAATTTTAATGGCAAAGCATGTACTATCATTTAAAAAAACATAAATCTCAGTCCTAGACATTTCTAATAGCACCTGTACAACTCTCTCCAAGGTATTTAAACCTAGATCAATTCCTCATTCCGTTACACACAAAAAAAAGAAGAAAAAATTGTGAATGGAAGCTGTTTCCATTCTGCTTCTGGAAAAATGAATAAAAAAAGTCAAGTAGCTTTGCTTCAGTATCTCCTCAAGACAAAGGGCACCGAGCCTTCCAGCCAGAATACTAACAGTTCCTGCTGCAGGAATGGTCCACAGCACTGAGGAGCACTGGAGAACAAGGAGGTCAAACACAATAACTTCAGATCTCTGCTGATTGGTATCAAAACGCCACCCCTGGCATTAAGGGCAGACTCTGATTACCTTGTAAACCTTTTGGAAGGTCCATTGTTTTCACCAGCTCCTCTGCAATGTCAAAAGCATTCAGTCCACTTAATTTCTTCTCCCAGAAGAGCTGACATCAAAGAGAGTGTTTATTGGCACAAAACAGAAATGGAATTGACAAGTACACAAAGCACCTGTTTACTACCCAAGAGGGAAGAACGCTGCTGCAGACTATCCTGCACCGCATTTACTACAGAAGGGGTCTGCCATGTCTGACAGCAAGGAACAATCCGCGTTGCTCATCAGTCCCACAACACCTCTGCCTTGATTTGCTGCCTTGAAAAAGACTTTCTTTTCTTCCAGGGACTGGTACTTTCACTGTTTCGAACAGGCCTGCTGGCTTTCACCTAAGCGCACGTAGCATGGGACAGCCTTACACTCCTACTCCTCTCTTGCTGTCCCACATATAGCACAGAAGTTGAGGAATGCAAGAGTTGTATCCAAACTCTTCCCAAGGTAAAGCATTATTTTATTCCTTTCTAGCAGTTCCTCATGAGAACAACCATGTCTAGTCATTTGCCATATTTTGAATCACAGGTTCTCCTCAAGCTTAAGACCACGTGAATGCATGCTTTGGTGGGAAGTCAGAGAGTTTACCTAGATACACCTTCAACTCTAAATCTACATGTACAAGGATGATCAATGAATAGCTGGAGTAGCATTTGTCTTGCAAGACAGCAATTTTACCTAGGTTTTGAGAAACTAAGAATTTACCCCAAACAGTCCACACATGTGCCCTTTTCATGCCTGTCAAAATCTGAGTGCAACCGCCATTACTTTTCCAACTACCAGCTCCCAAAAAGGGGAATAAGGACAGTCACAGCCAAAACACATAGGCTGGATATTCTCTAGCCTATGGCTTTCAAAAAGGTGAATTTTAAGCCAGCGCATGATGGGACTTAGCACTGCTTTCAAACTGTGAAGAAACATCTGGAGTTTGCTGACCAGAGGTTAAAATATATTGCATAACATATATTGTAAAATATATTGTAAAATGTTTTGAAGCTGTAATTTAACAGACTCTTAGATGTATAATGCAGAGAAAGACACAAGAAAGTCTACCCTATTCTATGCTATATACTAGAAAATTAAATACATGTGTATATATATGTTATACATACAGTAGAATTTTTTTATATATACATAAAAACCTCTAAAGGACCTTCTCAGAAAATATACTCCAATGTTGTCATTAAAAACAAAAAGGATTACATGAGGAATGCAAAAGCAAAGTCTAGGAAGTTGCATTACAACAAGTAGTAGTGTGAGCAGTAAAACTACCCAGGTGACTTTACAACATCTTTGTGCACTGGAGTTGATCTCTGCTGTCTAATAGATTGCACTCACACATCAATCTGCACTCACATACCAACTTCTTCCACAACAGGGGTACAAATCTCCATCTAGCTCGTTGTTTTGTGTATCAATGTCATATCTTTAGTGTCCTCTTTCATTGTCTTAACTAGCCAAGGGGTTTATAGGAACACCACCACCACTATGAACACACATGCTCTATTTCCTTAGGAAACCATGCTAAAACCCTACCAACCTGTTTAAAAAAAAACAAAAAAAACACAAATACCACCCCCCAAAACCACCCCCCAAAACAAAATCCATTTCAAATAGAACCTGTATCATGCTTCAGAAAGGTAGTTTTTAAGTTTGAAGGAAAGGTTTTCAGTGTGAGAGGTGCGTAGTTTATAGGGTATTTTTACATTTTATTGAAATCACCTTCCCTCTTGGAATGATATATTTTAATTCCACCAGACCTGCAAGAATTTAAAATGTACTGATAACTGATACCGATGCCAGCAACTGAACAGACTAATGAAGCTGAACATCTAGTTTCCAAAACGTATAAAGACGGACTCACTACAGGAGAGGATTCACAGAATCCCTGGTGTGAGCTCTGCAGAAGCAACAGGCTGTCAGCTCTAGGTAATATTAATGAAATGAGAATGCCTTCCAAAGGCTGCTTTGAACAGGTACATCTTATTTTAACAGTGCCCAGCTTCAAAGCCACGCTTGTCCTAAGCACACTTTTTGCATCCTTTCACTAGATTAAATTAAGCTGAAAGGTTTCCTTTAATTTTGGTGCATTCTCTTGTTTGCAAATATGTAGTATTATAAGAAAAACACTTTGATTTTGTATTAATAATGACATTCCAAGTGAATTTATGACTTTATTCATACAGGTAGTTAACTACTAATAATATACGCATCTGAAAAAGACCCGTGCAGGGGGTACAATCCCTTGCACTACATCACAAACACCACATTGTATGTGGTCTGTACAGGAACAGGGATTTCTTGAAACACAAAATTCTTATACAAGTGGAATATTTGACAGTGATTCTAATTAGAATGCAAATGTCCCCTGAAGTGGTTATGACGTCTGTCTAGATTTGTAGATAATACTTAATTTCAGCATTAAGGAAATGAAGGCTTAACTAAAACGGAATTGTAATTTAAACAAAGGTTGGAGTCTAGTTATAAAACACAGTGCAGAGAGCGTATTAACCACATATTGGAAATGGCTTTTCTTCCAATTTTGAAAGCTGGGAGCACTGTAAGTTATTGTTTCTGAAATATCAGAGACTTCAAATTGCCAGGGACTATTTGTTCAGCAACAAAAAATTAAAATGGATTATTTTGGGGCCCTCCCAGCAGCAAGACCCAGAGTTTCTTAGTTCTGGAGAAGAAGCCACTAAGCTGCAAGCCTTACCTGCCGGGGCTGGTCCACAGCTTTCTGAGGATCACTCTTCACCTTATTGCTGGGATGGTTTGTGATCTTTGTGACAGGTTGTTTGAATATGGACGCTGTCTGCCTGACAGGCAGTGCTGTGTTCAAATCAGGCTTGCCCTAAAAATTTCAAACGAAAGGAAGGGAAAAAGCCACAAAAGTATTTTCAATTTGCTAAAATGCTACTACAGCCATAAAGATGTACAGCAGGAAAAAGAAGACTTCATGGACTTGAAAACTCATCTGATCTCAAGCTATAGGAGTTAGACTTCTAAAAATGCATAACTACGTTCAAATCTTGCCTTACACCTATCAAAATTAAATTAGTTTTCCACTCTTTCACATTCTACTTAACATACTAGCCTCCTCTCATTCTAGTGTATACACACCAGTTTTATGCCAATTTTGACAGAATTTAGGAGTCAGAACGCTGAGTTTGCACTTTGACAAGCCACCTGTAGATAACTAAAACAGAAGGTTTCGATACAATGTTTGTAATTAGAAAAATTATGATGTGGGATTTAGAGACCATTTTGTGAATCCAGAAGCTATTCTAAACCATTCCGTTTAAATCCAGTTGTGGACACCAATAAACAAACCAATACAGCTGGAAGCTTGATAGCTTTTTTTACTTGCAGTTCTTAACAAAACTCAGTTTTTAAACGCAGCTCAGAACAATCACGTTTTCACTACATGACTGCATTTTGTGTTAGTGGGAACATAGGAAGACCGTTCCTCATTCCCGAGATCTAACATGCGAGTCTTGAAATGGCTGTAGGACATACTTTGTTCTTGAGGATGCAGACACCGCATCTGCTTAACATATTTATTCATGAGATGTAGAAAAGATGTATTCAGGACAAATATAATTCTTAATGAAACATCTGTGTGCTAATCCATTTATAAGCCAATGACAACTATTCATACATTTATTGAAAGGGTTGAGCAGAATTTTTAGCCTATGAGATGTATGTTAGCTGCTGGTCTCTGCAGCAAGCTACACTTCTTTTAAAATATCACTACAGCACCTAGCGCTGTAAGTAAATGTTCCGATGACTCCGATGATGACCATTCTTGACTGATTGACATATTTAGAAAATAAGCATGTTTAGGTGCAGAGACATAAGCTTTTAGGTTCTGAAAAAGCTTTTAGCATCTGATTAATATATTTAAGAATGATTCGAGCTAACCTACCCAGACAGGCAGTATACCAATGTCACTGTAATCTTGACTAAACCTTAACAATCAAAATTACCAGGTGCCAGACACAGGCTCCTTTATTTTGTTCTACAAATAGGCCTTGCCATCCTCTTGCCTCTTCATCTTTTTCCTCAAAACACATCCCCTCCTTAGATCGATTCCAGAGCTGAGATACCAGCCTGGCCTACAGATCGCTCCAAGGACTTGCTCCCGGGAGGCTGCATTACCTCCACATCCCTGCTGCCCCATGCCACTCTTCCCTCCTCCCCAAACCAAATGCAAGAGCAGAGCGGAGCTGCTGCACAGCCACAGGAGTCAGCTGGAGATTTGGAGCTCTGGAGGAGATCGTGCTGGAGAAGGTGATCTTGCTCTCCAGGCAGAAGAAGAGAGAAAGATACCAGCCCTCTCTCCAGCCCTTCTGTACAGAAGATTTAGCAGTACTGCAGTACTCTTCCATGGTATCAGTACCCTGGAAGAACCCGTGAATTGCAGTATTTGCCCAACACCCCATAACAGAGATGTTGTTATCTCATATAACTCCAGTTTCACACATTAATTACAAAATGCTTAATTTTCACGCAATCACAGATACTGTTCTGGGAGGCAGTCTGGCCAGTGCAACAGCAGACAGGAAGGGGAAAGCTGCCACTGCATCTTAAGTCTTACTTTGGCTTGGTTGGAACAGTCATAGCGCATCCTCTGTCTGTTCTTGTTCATTTTATTCATCAACATTTTTCCTGTGCGGAAGTCAAAAGTGCTCAGGTCCATCGAGCTCCCCAGGTAGCGTGCCAGCTGGGGCTTGCTTCGGAACTTTTTACCACTTGGGCTGAAAAAAAAACAGAAAAGAAACAAGGAGGGAGAGTAAAACCCTCTGGACTTCAATACCAGCACTCACTGCAACTCAGGAGAGGCAGGTTTAATTTCCTTCATGAAAAACAACATGTGCTGAACTTCCAAGAATGAAGCTCACATTAACCACCGAATGGATATTATTGCTTTCATATCAACTCCTCCTCACGATTACTGTGGAAGAGACAAATTAAGTGCAGACCAGGTTAAAATGGTTTTTACACATAAAAAGGGATTCAGATCTGGTATAAATGAACATAACATAATTCACACAATAGCTGACGTGGGAGATATCAGCACAGACGTACTTATCACTCAGTTGTCTCAAATAATAAATGTCCGTTTTCAAGCATAATTTCTCCTTGCAGGAGCGTTACATTTGATAGCACCACAAGCATCTCCTTAGACTCCTTTTTCTCCCCCCTGAATAGTGCATTCAGGTTTGATTACAAGTCTTTGGTAGCATTCTAAACACTTAACTTCAGGATTACACAGTAGCAAGGAGAAAGAAAATAATTTAACTGCTCACAAGCTTCAAAGCAAAGAATTACAAAGCTTAAGTGATGCAAAGATAAAGGTCAAAACCTTGGAAAACTTCCATTAATGGCAAAATGGAAGAGAGAGTCTTCTTAAACACCTGGTTTCACAAGAAAGACTACAACCTAGCAAGCAGGCACAAATTACTCCAACTCCTCATTGTTGTTGTTTGTTTTGGTTTTTTTTTTTTAGTAATATAACCTTTTGTACTACTACAAAAAGCACTGCTAGGTAAACTCTTTTATTTTTTATGCATAAAGCAAAAAATAAGGCAATGTGTTATGACTGCAGAGTAGAACTCTACAGACAATAGGCACAAAGTATTCTTCACATTCTCATTTAGCATCATAACTACACCTCTTCATGTCCTTAACATTTATCATACTAAACACGGGTTAGTTGGGTGAAAGGCATTTTAAGACCAAAAATACCAGTTATCACTCCACCGCTATTTATCCATTTTCTTCTTTTAAAGAGCAGTTAGTACTTTTTTTTCAGCCGTATTGCATGGAAGCGGGGTGATCTCCTCCCTAGCCTACAAACACCCTCTGCTCTCGATATACCAAGGATCTCATGTAGAGGAGATAAGGTCCCACCCCAGCGAGACCTCACTAACAGGCTGCCCACTGCACACAGTGGCCCCCATGAGTTCAACAACTCAATTCAAAGCAACTTCACAATATCCAAGTGATGACTAGAAGCAGTACCTACATATTAGAGTCCCTGTTTTTTCTACTGAGGCGAGAAATGGTATGGATGTAACTTACACCTGCCAGACACAAATCAATGCCAACGAGGTTCAAAAGCCTTCGGAGGACAGTTGGAGCTCTGTGATTAAGGTTACCATCTGGTATTGTTGAAGCCAGAAATGCAGGCTACTTGAAGGCCAAGAATAACTTGAAATAACATAGTTGTCACAGGATGAGAGGAAAGAAGTATTACTAACTATTTCAGCAGCGTAGACCCTGCTCTGCCACAGCGGCGGTGTTCATATTGGTAAGATACTAACAACCTCTCTAGGGTCTTCTCAGAGGAAAAAAAGCTTCAAGGAAAAAGCCTCTTTTCAACATTATCTGCTTCCTTGAAGCCTTTATTAGGGGAAAGGCCTGAAAGAATAGCATAAACATAGAATTTCTAGTATGGCTGTCCCAATTAGCAACTGGCAAACCAATTAGTTCAAGTCAGACTGTGTATGCAAAAAAAATATTTAAAACAACCAAAAAGAACCAAAGTAGTAAAAACTCTCAAAAAACTGAGAGACAAGATTAATATGAATTATACTAAAACTGAAATCTGAAAAAGTCAGTCTCACCAAAGACTTACAACTGAAAGGTTGTGGTCATCCCACACGCAGCATCTGCTTAGGAAGCTCCTGGCCCTGATTGCTCCCAAGCTGCTTATCCTGCCCCGTACCTACTCCCCACCACCACCACTACTTAAGCGTGAAAGCATTCTTGCAAAGGCACAGTTAACCAGGTGGGGAAAATAATCCATCTTTAGAGAGTAGGGAGAAGAGGAGGAAGCACTTTATAGCTGGTTATTCCTCAGCTGGACCAGTTCACTATGGAGCTACACAAACACTCAGGCCAGAAGATGACATAGAGTAGGAATAAACAGACAGGAACAGAGGCTGGGTCCGGACTCAAATTGTAAACCACTTTTTAAAAATGTAAAAGGGAGTCATATGCCCGAATCCAGAAAGAGGAATAACCAACTCCAGCAGCTTTTAGGCCAGTGCCATCACTGCTGTTAGTGAAGCCAAGAAGAGAAACTCCCACTATATGAAGAATATGACACTGCTTCCTCTTCCAAGATCCGCAGCTTCAATTTATGTGCCTTAGTGATTTTAAAAATAACACATTACAGCAAAATGTGCACTTAGAAGCGCAGCATAACTTCCAGAACAACAAAGCCAGATACACTCAGAGACAGTATTTTAAATTAACATAGCCCTTCAGCTTTTTTGTTTAGTATGTGTTCCAGTAATTTTGCAATGGATCTGAAAAGCTGCTCAAAGTCCACATACATCTAAAAAAACCCACCTGAAATGACTCAGGGTCCTGTCTCTTCCTGGGGAAGCTTGGCCCAAAGGAAAAGCACTGAAATGTTCAGAAGAAAAACTTTTATTCCGATTATGTCTTGAAAAAGGCAATACCATACCAAGCTTCTCTGGAGTAACGGCAGACCGGGGAGCAAAGCTACAACTCAAAGCTGACAGCAAACTTGCTCAGTAAAGACAAACAGAAAGGAAGCGGCTGGTGTGCTCTGCAGCCCCTGGGTCCCTCTGGCAGGAACATGCGTAGTAGGGCACAGCCATTGAGGGCACCTACAGACATCTGAGAGGGTCAAAGGGCAGGGAAAGGCAGCCGAAAACCCACAAAACTTGAGCAGTGGGATTGCTTGCTGCACATCACAAGGCACAGAAACAGTAAGCCAGCATTTATGAATTCTGAATGTTGTCAAAACGCTTTTGTGCCCTTTAAATATCACAAAATACGAAATTTATCTCCTTCCACCCCAGAGCAAAAGCTTTGCTCTGCACTCCTGTTTTTGATATACAAATATTTTGAGTGACCCAGAAGAGAGACATCTTGGTACAAAGCTGCAAAAACCTCTTCTAAATAATACTGCAGGCACCAATACAGTGAGCACGCTGTACTTGGCTCCTGAATTAAGGTCTTTCACACGTCACGTTATGAAAAGCAAGGCAACTGTAAAGTTGCAAACGATTTTACATGCTCGTCCATCAAAAGCTTCAACGCATTATCTGCTCGCGCAGCCTGTCTCGGACTAACAAAATGAAGCCGAAGAGGACCGAGGGGTGGTATGACCAAACCCAAGCCACCCTCCTTCATTATTTGCAGACTTTTTGGGCGCAGATTAAGCTGAATGTGTGGCGGTCTACTGAAGGGCCAGGCGCTGCCAGGTGCTCGCTGCTCTCCATGTGCAGTCACCCTTTGTTTCCTGCCTTATATTCTTAAGGAGAGACCGACTGCAAGCCCAGGCCCTCTCCCCTCCTCCCTCATTACACAAGTCTCCTCCCCTCCGCTCTCCCCATTTAGCCTACGCAGGATCCGCACAACTTGCAAAGCAAGGGACAAAAGACCAAAAAAAAGAAAACCTGACAAACCCAGCCATTGCCTGCCTTGTAAAGAAATGGAGATAGGAACAAACTAGGTAAAAAGGGGTGATCAATCGCATATGCCCAAAGCCTCATTTCCTCGGTAGAGGGTAACTGATATAATGCAAAATGTTGTTCCTTCTCCGTTCCAATCGTGCCTCCCTCCGCTGCACTTCTCTCCCCAGCTCTGCTGCAGCTGCGCCGGGGGCCCTTCGGGTGCTGTACGCCCCCCGACACTGCTTCCTCGGGAGAGACGCGTACCCTGGGACACCTCACACACTGCCACCGTCGGTCCCCCTTGCCCACCGCATCGTCACGTTATCCCTGACTTGCAGCATCTGCACCGGGTCCTGCCTCCGTGGTCCCACGTTCAAACGACTCTGTTCTCCGGGGACAGGCTGGCACAGACCCACTCGCAGCTCCCACCGGTGCCCATAAAAACCACCAGTGTGAACAAGCAAGACCAGGTGACTCCTCCAGTTGCCATAACACACCCCACATCTTCCCACATCCACGCAGCAGCATCTCCCCATTCCTCCACAAACAGGTGCCCTCAGCTCTGCACAGAGCAGCCTCGGGGGATCGAGCTGTCCCTTGCCACTGCAGCTGTCCCAAGCATTATTTACATGCTCATGGAGCAGCGCGTGAGGGATGCTCCCTGCCCCACAGGGCAATGGGATAGTCTTGTTCAGTAACTTGGGCTTCGACCACAAAAACAACCCAAAAAACCAAACAGACCTCCCACAAACACAAAACTACCCCAAAAAACTTCGATACACACAATACACACAAAATCTTTCAAATTTCCAGAAGCACCCCTCCCCTAAACAAGAACTTGAGCGGCAGTCCCGTAACACAGAAATGAGCCCAAATATAACCAGCCATTTTTATAAGGCTCATCTCAAGCATCATGAGAGCTTCCCTGGGGGAGCTGTGGGTAAAACAGAATAACCAAAAAAGAGCAAAGTATGGTCTCAGTAAAAGCATTCTCCTCCACAATTTTTCTGGGGGAAAAAAAAGAAAGTATACAGATCAAAATACACTTGGGGGGGCCGGACGTGGCATTAAAAAGTTTTCTTCAACTTTTTACATAGGTGCTGCATAGGTAAAAAATTCACAACAAAACAAGCTTCACCCAATAGATCTGTTAAATTTTCCAGAACAGGATGTTGACAACTCCTTGAAGCAGAGACAAGCTGTGATCCCAAACTTCTCAGACACATGGTCATCAACCCTTAAGCAGAAAAATACTATAAAGAAAAGCACTAAATTCTCCTTCCCCTAGGTGGGAACACTGAGTTTGAGGAGAGCTTTTGGAGCCACA